CGCCAATCCTTGCATACCGCAAATGAGGAAGAGCTCTCCGCTCTTCCTGAAGATATAGCGGCCTACCGGCCTCCTGGGCGGTGACTTCCTAGGCCGCACAGGCCCTAGACCCGGGCTACTTGGACTTATACTGCCCTACCTCTAACCTACCGCTACTGGGCCTCTAAAAATGCCAACTTTTTGTCTTCTTCTGCTCGGCCTACCTGCTACTTGAGTGTTTTTCCCAGCTGCTCTAAGTGTCGTGGGCCTATTCCCCGCTACCTGCGTGTTTACCCCCCTGCAACCACAAGTAAGTACCGGCCCGGTGGGCCTTGCAACCAACAAGCACCCTTGCGGGTCACACACACATACCCAACCAGCCAGCACTCATACAGGCATGCAAACCAGCAGGCACGCACACACACCCAACCGGCAAGCACTCAGACAGGCATGCAAACCAGCAGGCACGCATACACACAGACTTGGCACCACAGCAAAATGCGGGAATCACAACAAGGCATTCATTCCATTGACAAATCTCATAAATCAAAAGTGTTCCCAGTCTATGTTTTTTGGCGGGTCATTACATTACTCCCCTCTCGAGAGCGAGGTCCCTTCGAGCGAGTAACTCGGTCAGAGTCGGTACAAAAGGCATCGTAGGCATAGATCAAAACGAGAGTGTTAGTGAGACCGAACGGAGTGAGTTTTGCAGCAAACTTAGCGGTTTGTCCATCAGCAATTTGTCGTTCATATGTGTTCACAACACGTGGAGCACTCTTCAGCAGCTCTTTCTGGTCGATCCAGAAGAATTCGTTCAACGGATGGTAGAGGAAGTGAACCTTGTACTGTCTGTTTCTCCCTCTCCCTTCGTGAGAAACGATTTTGTCAATCTCATGGCCGCCGTCAATAGGGCGAGGTATCATAGGGTCTCGGAAGGGAAAGGTCTCATCATCAATGTGTGGGAACAATTTGGAGGCATGGAAGATTGGATACGTGCGCAGATGAGGAGACACGTCAGTCACATACGAAGGAACGAAATCATCCCCAATCACCTTCAAGATCTGCCAAGGGCCGTAGTACAGTGGAAGAAGCTTTCGTGACTCGCCCAAACATAATCCCCAACTTTGAACTTTTCTGCCCTGCGCAGCTTGTTAGCATGTTTGATCATGGCATGCTGGCGCTTGTTCATGGCTGCAGTGACAGCTTTGAGCAAGCGTGCGTACTTGGCATTGTAGCCAGGCATGCCAGGCATCAGACCAGGTGACCGTTTGGGGAACAGATAGGAGAGGGGATTGCGCATCGGCCATCCATACTGCAGTTGGTTTGGTGTCACGCCAGTTGCAGAGTGAATGAAATTGTTATACAGTCCCTTTACCTTGTGCATCTCTTTGTCCCACGTGTTCTGATCTGGAACAATCAATGCGCGGAGTAGTTGGATGACAGTCTGGTTGATCTCCTCAGCCAATCCATTGGCTTCAAGATGTCGACCAGAAGTCTTGTTCAGTTTAATGTCATAGATCTGCGACGTGAAGTCCTTCCAATCGGCGCCGATGAATCTGGTATCCCGATCACTCACAAGAAATTTCGGGGGTCCATACTGCAGAATGTACTGTTGGTGAAATTCTTCAATTACTAGCTCAGTTGGTGCATGAGGAGGTAGAGGGATCAAGTTCATAAATTTAGAAACGCGATCCACAATCACCATAACTTGTGAATTCCCTGCTGCACTCACCTTTCTCATGTCCGTGAAATCGATAGAGACCGATTCCCCGGGACCATCAGGAATTGGTAGGGGTCTCAGCAGGCCATAAGGCTTATGCCTGTGGACTTTTGTTCTTTGACAGACTTGACACTCAACGATGAATTTCTGAGCAGATCCCTTCATTCTCGGCCAATCAAACTGCTGCAAAAGACTCCCATATGTCTTTTCGAAGCCGAAGTGTCCACTCCGACCATGTGCCAAATCTAAGAAGTGAGTCCGGAGAGGTGCATGGTTGGGAACACATAAACGATCAAACTTTCCGTACCGGCGAACGACAAGACCCTCGCATTCGTAAAAATCAGGCTGACTGTTGGGGTCAGCCTTGAGCTGCTCAAGGATGGGACTAAGGTCCGGATCCTTGGCAGTGTGTTCGACCAGCTCCTCCTTCAGATTCCTCCGGAGGTCGTAAGAGTCCACAAGGCAAGTCAAATACTCGGGATGGCGCGACAAAGCATCAGCAACACGGTTATAACAGCCTTTCTTGTGTTTCAACTCAAAACTGTAGACATCAATGTCATGCAACCAACGGGTCAATGTAGGAGAGAGTTTAGATTGTGACTGAATCCACTGCAAGGTCTGATGATCAGAGTAGACCTTGAAGTGGCGACCCAAGAGGTAATGCTTCCAATGTGCGACGGCTTCGCGCAGGGCGTAAAGCTCACGCATATATGTGGAAGTAGCTACCTTGTAGCTGGGCATGCGTTTGCTGTAATACTCGAGCGGACGCAGGCCATCACCATCATCTTGTTGCGGCACTGCATCAATCCCGAACTGGCTCGCGTCCGTAGTAACTACAAACGTGAGGTTGGGGTCTGCAATGCGAAGCACAGGATGACTCACCAATGCCTCTTTCAAGGCTTGGAACGCAGACTCACACTTCTCACACCATGCATAGGCAACATTCTTGCTGGTTAGTCTTGAGAGCGGGTGAGCAATAATAGAAAATTTGGGTACAAATTTCCGGTAATAAAAAGCCAAACCGAGAAAAGAACGCAATTCGCGTACATTCGCCGGTTGAGGCCAGTTTTGAATGACCTCAACCTTGGTTGCCTCCGGCTCAAGGCCGTTTGCAGACAACCGGTGTCCGAGATAGATGACACTGTCCCAACCAAACTCAGATTTTTCCAAGTTGAGGTGCAGTTGAGCTTCTTTGAGGACTTGCAAAACCTCTTCAAGATGTTTGACGTACTCATCCATGGACTTGCTGAAAATCAGAATGTCATCAAGATACACAACCACAAACCTGTTAAGCTGATGGCGGAGTACCTTGTCCATGAGGCACTGAAATGTGGCCGGTGCATTCGTCAGACCGAAGGGCATAACGATGAATTCGTATAGCCCATCGCATGTCTTGAACGCAGTTTTGTGCTGGTCGCTCGGATCAACTTCAATCTGGTGGTAGCCAGACTTGAGGTCGTTCTTGGAGAAAACCTTGCACCCACCTGCCGCATCTAGCAGATCATCAATGCAAGGCAAAGGATACGCATTCTTTCGGGTGATTCGATTCAGGCCACGATAATCAATACACATCCAGAGTTTGCCTCCTTTCTTTGGTACAAACAAAACAGGTGCGCCAAACTCAGACTCGCTAGGCCTAATCCATCCACGATCAATCATATCATCAATCTGCCGTCTCAACTCCTCCAACTCGCCTTGTCCCATACGGTAGACGCAGCCCTTTGGAGGAACACTCCCCTCTATTATCTCAATTTTGTGTTTGACCGGACGCTCGGGAAATCCACGAGGTTCGGCCAAAACTTCAGGGAATCGATCCAATAGTTGGCGAATGTTTGTTGGGATTTCTGGTGGAGGATCATCCTCATCAGGGGAAAGAAAATTAGACTGAGGATTTACAGCAATCAGAACCGGATTAGAAGTAGAAGGATTATTCACAGTAGAAGTAGATGAATTAGAAGTAGAGTTACTTACCGAGGTAGAAAATGCAGCAAAAGTAGAAGGCACATGGAATGGTTTTACAAGGGCTATATGTACAAACTCAACTTCCTTGCGCCTGCGCACTGACCTGCAGAATTTGTTAGCACTTAGAAGAGTCACAGGGGACTCGCGCGTCTCATCTAATAAGACGGTACGCTCGTTCCCCTTGGCATCGATTACCACGAACTGATTGTCCGCCCACGTGGTCCTTAGGCAATGAGCCTTTAGCCAGCCCAAGCCAATGACCGCGTCGAAAGGACACTTATCCAGGAGATAGAAATTCAGCTCATGTGTGACAGTGTTTTTTTTGTCAAAGGTGATGTGCACACCTTTGATAGCATGAGTGGAAGTGACAACCTCTTGGTTGCCCACCTGAGTCCGGCAAGGGTTCTGCAGTTCCACTTGCTTCATACCCAGGCCTGCCTTACGAATCCCGTTTGGAGAGAAGAAATTAGTGGTCGAACCACTATCAATCAGCACACGGATGTATCGGCGGTTAATGAGCAGTTTAAAGAAAGTTAGCTCCACGCTCCCTTGAACACGGCGTTGCTGCTTGAGCTGCAGCCAATGCTCCATGTGGGCGTGGAGGTCAACTTCTCTAGACTCCTCCCAAGGCTCAGTGTATAATACTTGGACTGCACCAGCCTTGGAATCAGCATCAGTTCGGGCTTCAAGAGCACGCTGCTGATCAGATCCAGGCTCCTCGGAAGGGCCTGCAACTGACTGCTCAGCTTCCCTTGTTGTAGAGAGTGTTGATGACTCTTCTACGCCCCTTGCCTATTTCCTTGAAGACGATAGCAGTCCTGCACAGCATGCCCATCCTTTTGACAATGCAAGCATACGCGCAGTTTGGACCTTCTTTCCCATTCTTTTTGGTTGATGTGGAGGGCTTCCCAAGGCTTGGTAGAAGCGTCCTCCGGTTTCTCTGTGATCTTAGCATTTTTGGGAAGGTGTAAGACAGTTCCCTTACCTGAACCATGGTTAGGCCCCTTATTTGAAGCAGTCTTTCTGAATGCATTAAGTTTATCATCATCATTTCTGCCACACTCAATGGCTAATGTGGAACAACCCATATCGGAGTCCGGCTCTAAATCGTCATCTAGAGACAGATCATCCGAATAGGACTGATCGTCAGCCTCCCGATGATCATGCATTGCAAGCTGGTTGCTGCTTCCAAACCGCTTGCGTTGTGGTTTCCCACCTGCAGCGGGCGCCTTCTTTCGCCTAGCGAGGTCTTTGGCCTCTAGGTCGACTAGGTCCTTCATGAGCTCTCGCCAGGTGGCATGGTCCTTGAGTGCTAGCAGGGAGAGGTATTCTTTAGGGGCCACTCCCATGAGTACATCCATACAAGATACGTCATTCATTCCCAGATCCGGAGTGGTGAACAGACCGATCAACTGCTGTTCCAAAGCCTGCATGGACGACCTCCATGTTTGGCCCTTGAGGGCCTCAAGTTTCAGCCTAGCCTTGAGCGCATCATGTTTATCTCGGTACCGGTCAAGGAGAAGATCCTCAAGGGCGCGGACAGGGGTGACCTTCAGCCAATCAGTCAAGTCTATGCGTTCATAGTCTGCTGCGACAGCTTGGAGCTCAATGTGGTTTCGTACGGCGGGCTCAGTATTAGTCCCCATGATCATACTTCGGTCCTCTTGCGGTGTCCGCATAACCTCGAAGTACGACCTCATGGAACTAATCCAAGAGGTGATGTTTGTCTTCCCGTTGTACTTGGACGGCAGCGTGGTCGCCCGCTTATCCACCATGGGACCGCTGTACTGAACGCCAGTAGGGACTGCGGCGTTTTGGGCTGATGTCCCTGCATTCGGGACCATGACCAGCGCAGAACTGTCGGTGCTGCCGCTCGAGGAGCTGGCGCCGGTTCCTGCGCTTGCCACGGTTCCGCTTGCCCTTGGATACGAGGGCTGTGTTGGCTTGAGAGGTTGGGATTATAGCAGATCGAGGGTTAGGAGGGCGGGAGGCAAACATTTGGGACTCAAGGCTAATTACCTTAGCCTGCAGCTCTTCGTTCCGCTGCTCAAGTCTTGTCATACGGGACTCAAGGTTTTCCAAGGTCCGCAGTCGGACCAAGGCTGCTACAGCAGCAGCTAGTTCCTCCTGGAACCGGTCAGCATCGGCTTCCGGGATCCGAAGGAGAGCCACCTGATCAACAATGTCGGCGGCTCTAGCTGCTGCCGTTGCCTCCCTTTCCCTCTGCACGGCATCATCATACATTTTTTGAAAGAATGGTTTTTGGCTCTCGTCCGCTGTATCCAGCATGGCCTGCCATTGGGCAGACGTGATGTTCGCCATGCCTGAGGAAGGGGTGTCAATAGAACTCTCAAGAGGGGTCCGCTCTCTCCTTAAGTTTGGATGAACACTCCTCTTACCCCTTCTCACACTCTCAAACAGCACACCTTCTCTCTCCCTTTCCTCTCTTTTCGCTGTCTGCGCAAGCGTCTCGATACTGGACATAGATAGTTCAGATAAAAGAAACACACAGAAAACCACTTAGAGAAGAAGGTAGAACTCCTGGCCGGAGCGGCGAATCATTTGGACTTAGAGTGTGGCACGCAACAGAAGAATAAATATAAATAAATAAATAAATAAAAAATAGAAACAGCAGAGAGTTCTAATTTATAGAACGGGCCCGATCAGATCAGCTGGAGATCCCCTCTTGTCTAACCTGACAGGGGACATACATCACAGTAAATCAGACGAAGAAGACTTATCTGCAGCAATGGAGATTTCGAGGGATGCAGATGGTCGCCGAGTCAGACGCAGGCCAGTATGTGCTAACATGCGGTAAGGCCAGTCAAGATCCCCTTGAAAGGAATGCCCTTGCTGTCCGTATGTCCCCCAATTCCAGCACATCAAAGAAATGCACTGGCGGCAACAGATATGGGCCCAAAAGGTCCTGTCCCGTTGGGCCTGGTCCCACTGGGTCCCGAGGGGTCCCAAGTAGGCCGTGGACCAGGACCAACGTGATAGGGGTGCCAAGTCGGTCCCAAACTGCCTCTACCGTGCTGAAAAGGAAAAGACAACTTTCAGCAAGAACTCACTTCTACAGCCGTTCAGAAATGAAAAGACAATGCACCATAGAAAGACATGTCATTTAGAGTAGATACATCATCCATCCATTCATCAGGTGAGAAAGCAATCCACAAACTCACACATACAACCAAGACCGCAGAGAAGAGGAAGAGAACCCAGCACACCCCCAACAGGCCATGAAGCACCAAGCAACCTCCCACGGGCTTACCCAGGTCACACGGCACTTACCTGTGAGGCCCGGCCTCCAAAGATGGATAACGAGTCACTCCCCTCTCATATAAGTCCTGACCCCTAGCTACCACTACACGAAGTGTCCTAGCATGACTAAGAGGGCCTTCCTACACCCCTGTTGCAAAGCCGGATCCCCCGTCAATGCCTGAAGACCAAAGTAGCAACTTGCAGCAATCCGATGCAGATATGGCAGCGTCCGATCAAGTCTCCCTCTTGAGGGGAAGCCCAAAAGTCACTCAATGTCTGGAGTCCAGATACCAGGTGCGAGTACCTCTCACTCTCTACTCCCTCTCGCTTACTCCAAACAGCCTCCTTTGTGTCTCGCCACCCCATACATTCACTCAAGCAACCTGGTTGGGTCCAATGTCGACCCTACATGACCTAACCAGGTGGGGGCAGCATCCCCATACCTCGCTGCCCCACTTAACCCTAATCCGAGATTAGGCTAGCCCTAACCTAATTCGGAATTAGGGTTAGGGTGACTAACACCTCTCGCCAGCAAGTAAGTCCGCTCCGATACCAATTGTTACGATCCTGGTCATTTCCCAAGTGCAAATTCACAATGA